TGTCAATTGTCTATTACCACATTTTGGACACTGTTAGTACTTTATTAATGCATTTAATTTATGAAGTGTTTGAAGTGTTGTTTGGAACTCCTAAGCTACGCGCATTGTCAGGAGCTGAGGGTGCTGAACAGGAAAGGGTGCTGGTTGATTTTCCTCCCGTCCTCGCTGCCTATCAGTGTCCTTGTTCACAGTCCAGCGGCTCTCTCTCCCTCCCCACTCTTTTTCTCTGGATAACAAAACTGCTATGGCCTCAATTCTCACTCCCATCTCTAATCTCTCTGTTTTATCCTGGAACTTGAGTCACAAGTCTCAGTACTTGTGAAAAAGGGAAAGTTTTTGTCTTCTGTTCCTCTGAAAGAGCCGCTTGGTCCGTGTCCAAAGAGCTGTTAATATGTTTCATTCTCAAGCTTTTCAACAGACTTTATGAAAGATAAACTCAGAGTTCGGGCAGTTTGTTTGTTCTTTCACACGCTTAATTTTATTATCAAAATCAGGAAATAAGTACTTGTCTAGGATTTATACACAGGTTATCCATCATGTTTTAACTGCTAGGATTTCACTCCTAAATGGCTTGCAGGTTCCTTGTAATATTAAATATTACCACAACTTTTTACTGCTGTACCAGGGAATGTAGGATATGTTTTATGGATATCAATGTTCATTATTGCTTATGTGGATTTATAATCTAATTTTCTGCAGATGTGGTCAATTTCAATGTCTGTGCTTGCGCTCTCTATTTATCCTTCCAAACACATCTATTGTACAGTGTGCTCAAGAATTATTGGCACCCTTGCTGAACAAGAAAAGCCTTATAAAATAAACAACACGGATAATGAGCTATATTTTATGTCCCCCTACAAAAAAAAGTGGAAACTACATTCTAATACAATTATTTTAAAATGAATGTTTTAAATGAATAATACTGTTTTTATGTCGAAAACATATGCGTCAAAATTATTGTGTCCCCTACATTTTTAAAGAAAAATTAAACAAAGTGAAATCTGTTTATTTAAATACAACTCTGTCCAAAGGTATATTTTTCGTTACTGTTTCAGAAGAGTATAAACAAAGACATCGCACACATAGGAAACCCTTTTGTCATTCATCACCATGGGAAAAGGCAAAGAACTAACAACTCAAAAGAGACAAGTGATTGTTGATCTTCACAAATCAGGTAATGGATCCACAAAAGTCCATAGAAAGTTAAATACAGCACTTAGCACTACTAGGGCAATAATCAGGAAGTTCAAAACCAGTGGTTAACCTACCAGGAAAAGGGTGCAAGTACATCTTGTCCCTGTGCACAGTGAGGAAGGTGTTTTTTTTGCTTCCCTCAACAATCCAAGGTTTGGAGAACTCCATTGTCTGCTTGGATCTTGAGGTCATCAAGTCTCCTAACCAGCAGTTAGAAGGTACATCCATGCCTGCAGGCAACAGGACGGGTTGCCTGAAGAAAGCCCTACCTGACAACAAGAAACAAGGCTGGAGTTTGCCAGACGCAACTGGGACTTTGATTGGAACCGGGTGCTACATTCATCGAACTCACACAATCAATATGTTTGGGGTCAGAGAGATGCGTACAAAGAAGAGAACTCCATACCCACCATGGAATGTGGCAGTGGACTGAAGATGTTGTGGAGCTGGTTTTCTGCCGCTGGCCATGGGGCCCTTGTTTAGGGATAAGAGATAAAATCACTTTATTGGCCACATACAACTTCTTGCATTAGGAATTTGTCTTTTCGCCCACCCCAACTTGCTCTCCATGAGACGCACAGACAGGGAGAGAGGCTTGGGGTCAGAGCGCAGGGTCAGCCATTTATACAGCGCCCCTGGAGCAGTTGGGGTTAAGGGCCTTGCTCAGGGGCCTAATGGAGTAGGATTCCTCTGCTGGCCGCGGGATATGAACCAGAAACCTTCCAGCCACAGATCCTTAGCCACAGAGCCACCACACCACCTCTCCTTGATAAGATTAGTGGTATCTGATCTTATCTTAGTATCGGGATATTCTGGCTAAATACTTGGTTAATTCTTCCAGAAAACTACAACTTGGTCACAGGTTTACCTTCCAGCAGCACAATGACTCTAAACACACCTCAAAAGCACCACAGAAAACAAAATCAACATTTTGCAGTGGCCGTCTCAGTCTCAGGACTTAAATCTGTTTAAAAACCTCTTGTGTGAATTGAAGAAGACGGTCCATAAGCATAGAACTAAGCACATCAAGGAACTGGAATATTTGGAAATAATTGTATTAAAATAAATACTTGTAGTTTTCCCATTCTGGGGAGCATAAAATATAGTTACTTAACTGTGCTGTTTATTTTACATGACTTTTTGTTCATGTAATGGTGCCAATAATTGAAGAACCCACCGTTTGTGTGTTTTAATAAGAATGTTAATAACGATATGTGAATTGCTTTTAAAAAAATCAAATTTTAATGATGGTTCTCTAACTAGGACTTAGTTTTATTCTGTAAAATCTGTTCTTTTGAATCCCCAGGATCCCCCAGTGCTTCCAGTGGGAGAGTTCAGCGAGGTGTTTGTTCACTTCATCACACAGTGGTGAGTTTTCACTCATGCACGCACTCGTGACATGCCCAGTGTGAAACAGAAACACTAAGATACCCCCTCTCAAGTATGGCCCTCTCAAGTAAGACACAGACTTGCACAGTCTCACACATAG